TGCTGTGTCTCGTCACAGATCTGAGAACAGCGAGAACAGGAACAGAGGGGGGAACAGAAGGAGGTGTTGCTGCTCCTAATTGCTGAAAATCTGTTATGTTGCATCGCACCCGGGAAGTTGTGCAGTTCAAGTGAAATGTAATATTACCGTCACATCTGACTGGTTCGTTCGTCAGCCTGCACATGTGAGAGTGTGCCGGTTGTGGCTTGTGTCACACGGAGCTCATTGTCATGATAGAGTGTACAGACAGTGAGCGACTGTCGGTGTACTCCAGCGAGGCCGCTCCCTTATTGGCTGAGCTAATTCAAAATAATGACAACCTGCATCATCCTGTTGTCACTGGCACCTCTGCTGTGACAGCTGCTGCCGCTGTAAGTGTACGTTTGAACGCGTGTCTGTCTGTGTGTGTGTGTGTGTGTGTGTGTGTGTGTGTGTGTGTGCCTAATGCATGTGTCCGTGTTTGTTTGCAGTCATGTCCAGTTAAGTGATGGCTGATCAGGGGGTGGGCCGAGGAGGGGGGGCGGGGTTATGTCTTTCATTTGGCCGCAACCAAAGTACAATGAAGACGTCAAAAGGATTTGAGACGATTGTTTATGTAAATGAGCTTATTAAAGACTAACAGCGGTTACTATGGTGAAGCAGAAGAGAAGCTCAGCGTGGGGCTTTTCAGCTACAGTCAGACTCAGGGAGCCCATTATTTCTCTTGTAATTTGTTGAAGGTTAATCTACAATTTTATCTCTTTACACTAGCGGGATTACCCAGGATTTTATCAGGGAGAATCCACTACAAATCAGGAAGTACCACCAGTCCCACCGTCAGCACCTTTACATTTTTAAGATCATTTACATTGATTCTTTCTATCCTCTGATGATTATATCACTGAGTTCCTACATCCACATTCATGGTTAGTCACTTCTCAATCTACGTCACCCTCAAAAAACCCAAACATTTAGGGTAGGATTAGCCACGAAATAAAAATCAATTTGATCCTTTTCCCTACTTCAGGGGCTGCCACATCATCTCGACCCCACAGTTGAACAGGAGCAGTTTTGTGCTTCCTGACAGTATTTATCCAGACTGGGAACCAGCACAGTAAGGCTAACAATCGATGAAGACCATCTGGATGAAGGATTTCTCCTAACAGCACAATCCAGAGTCACATCGGTGTTAGAGACGTGCCATAGTATTAACATTTTAACATTTAAGTTCTAACAGCACAATCCAGAGTCACATAGTATTAACATTTTAACATTTAAGTTGGTGAAGATGAAGGAGTGTCATACTGTTGAACAGTCACTGAAATCATTTGTTCATTCAGCAGTGTAAAGCTGGGCATAAATATCCTTTTTCAACATCTTTTTTAAAAACCACTTTTGTGACAAACGATGAAAAGCTGAAGACTAATTTTCAGCTGTTCCCTCGTTCTTCTTCACTCACAGGCAATACATGAAGTTAATCTGGCACAGATTTTAAATCAGACGCCCTATATTTAACACAACTGCTCCCATTAACGCAGGCTTGGCTCCAGTGCTGGGACACAGACACAGACACAGACACAGACAGTTGCCTCTGACCACAGCAGGGTACAATCAGAAGTCTAGGGTTCATTGGACTCTAAATGGAATCGAACCTCTGACCCTCTGATTATAAGAAGACGATAGAGAACATATACTCAACATATTGTAGCATGTTACATGAGCCCCACTGCTCCTAGGAAATCTACAGTTGTATTTACATCAACCAGAAAAATACGTTCACTATTCTATAAGTCGAAGGCGACCACAGTACCTAACAGGTTGATGTGGCAGTTATAACTGTAACTGTAGCCGTAAATCAAATTCTGGACAACTATTCCACGAAGGCAATGTCAGTTGCTGCATATAATCATCACAACAGACGCAGTAAAAGCTGTTCACATTCCCATAATCACATTTTAAGCGTTTGACAGCCACAAATTAGACATAAAGTCAATGTGGAGACGTGATGACAGCTGAGGGAGAACTGGAGCTCCTGCTCTGGACACTTCAACATGACCTCGACCTGTGGCTGTGCAGGATCTGCCTGAGTGACTGGCTTTCACATTTTAGTTGTCAGTGTGTCTTCAGTCATGGGACGAGGGGAGGGGCTAGAATTAGCTTATGTTCTTGTCTGTGCTGCAGGACTTCTGTCCTTCAGCTTTTCTATTGGGCATTTAACGTTTCTGCACCGTTGACACTATTTTTCTTCTTCAAGTCAATTTATCTGCCTCTATCAGTTTCCCCATCATCCTTTGTTCTTCTTTTCTTTGTCGTTTAATTTCCTTGCGCCTTCATCCTTTGTTTAATCTCCACTTCCTTTGCTCCACAATCTCCTTTCCTTCCTGCAGCAGATAGTCAGGATTTGGGACATTATTTTATTTAATAAAAAAAAAAAGAAATCTCAATGCCTGCACACATGCACAGACATGCACACGCAAAAACCCCCACACATACACACTCACAAACTAAACATAGACACTGAGCTGATAACTGTCAGTCATAAATCACCGACCTCGAGGCCTAGGCTTATAATCACATTCAAGATCACAAGCAATATTGCCTTCTACACACACACACACACACACACACACAAGATGAAAGAAGGAGTCAGACAAGCCGGAGTAGATAGAGTCTAGACTCCAAGTCTGTGTGAGTCTAAATGAATCATTGTCGTCAGCGCTCACAGTGAAAAGGTGGGTTTTTATGTGTGCGGCCATTTTTCAACAGTTTGTCGGACTAGGATCACACACTATGGTTTCCATGCTGACAATGGGATAGGTTTGTAAAAGCAGCGACGAACCAACATGTGGTGTTTACACTGCAATTATCAAGTCGTCAGCAGCGTCTGTAGTTCTGTTGTCGTCTTCGTGTCACCAGGCGCAAAAAAAGTCTCACTTCATCGACTAAAATAGTACGCAGACCCCTTTTGCTCCATCAGTGACGAGACACAGAAACAGAACCCTGTGCTCCATTTCCACCAACTGATTCAACGCTAATTAATTTGATGTCCCTTATTAGGCGGCAGACCTAGTTAATGGAAGCTTGTCCTTAAAAGCTGTGACACAGACAGTGACGGCTGAGCCGGTCGCTCAACCACGAGCACCTGGGAAATCAAAACCACAGACACCGTCCTGCCTCTCATTGTTGTCAGTTAATGGGATGGTTGACATTTACACTCTGGTCAGTCAGCTCTGAACACCGGACATAAACCTGTCTTTGTGTTTGGGGGGGATTGGTGTGAGTTCAAGTGAGATGAGTTTGACTTTTTTTTGCAGAGACACAGACAAAGTTTCAATAAGTCCCAGTCAATAGTCAGTCACTTTATAGAATGCAACAATAACCACCTGTGTTCGAGACCCACCGCAGGCAAACCCTGTATGTGAATGTAAAAATATCTTTTTAGGGCTGTGAGAATTAACACGCTAATCTTGTTAATTAACTTGTGAAATTAATCAGATTAAAAATGCTAATGCATTTTAATGCATGTACACAGACTGAAGCACACTCTCTCTATATATATATCTATATACAGTAATTCCACTGTACACACACGTATAGTATCGTCTATAGAGATACTGGTATTTGAATCAGTTCATCCCTAACTATTATATTAGTATAATTACTGTAGTATTGTTTTTCAATGTTGTTCATTGAAAAAAAAACCACAATGTGCATGTTTGGCCAAATGACTAACATGCTGAAGGTGTTCACGGACCAAACGTGAATAAAAAAGAGAGCCAGAGAGCTCACAGCATCACCGTCACCACCATCGCCATAATCGCCACACAGAGCACATCCATTAAAACCCACCCCCCAACAATTTTCCTCTGGAGACCAGGTGTTGTTTATACCCCCGCTCAATTACTGCCACAGGCTTTCACCTCCCTCCCTCTCACCCCTCACCCCCACTCCATTCCGCTGCTCTATCTCAGCTCAGCATTAAAAGCATACAGTCTTTTGTTGTTCAAATAGGCTTCTTGTTTCTCCCAGCACTCAGCCATTTACCCAGGCATGGTTTGGACACGGGCCACGGCCCTTTAAATCCCCACGGGCAGCAGATCTTAATCACACAACTGCATAGCACTGATGCTGGAAACACCACCCACACCCACACTGATGTTCTCCTGCCAGTATGTGTGCACTGAGCTTTGGCCTGTATGCCTTCCCTGTTCAGGTGTTCAAGTAGGTGGTCGGGTATGAACAAGGGTTAAAGTCAAAGGTCAAGGTGCTAGAAACCTCTGAGTGTAGTGGGTTAAGGCTTTTGATCTCTAAACAGCAACGCCGGACACTGTCAGTGGCTGAGGTTAATTACCATGTGCCCTCATTATTTATGAAAATGTGCCAAAAACTAAAAAACAGGGTTGGTTTTGTTACAGAAAACAATGATTTTTATGTGTCAGTTACAACTGAATTTCCATAAACGTTGGTGCACTTTTCATAATAAAATACAATAAAAATAAAATGAAAATCATTGACTTCTTGGGAAATCCATATGTAACAGTTCAGTGTTCAGAAAACAGCAAAAAATGTAGCCGTCTTTTTGTGTTAGCAATAAGCAACATTTAACATTGGTTAATCAAATTGCTGAGGAGAAATCCCACTTGTCTGAGATTTACTCATTGTTCAGATAAATCAATAAATGTCCATTTTCTTTATCGCTACAAAGTCAGATAATACAGATTAAGTCTCCAGTGAGTTTCACCTCGAGAGTTCCCCATTCTGTCTGAGACCACTACGCTGTAACATCTCAATCCAGTGGACACCGTTTACCAGATACACGTAACAGAGTAAGATAAATTTACTAAAGCTAAAGTGTGACCTTAAGTAGAGAATACATCCAGTTTAACACCGGACTTGTGTCAAAAGGTGATAAATGTGGATGTTCTCCGTCTCAGCTTCAGGTTAAATATGTATTTAGTGGACAAAAGAAACTGCTAAATCAGAAATGTCACTCAGTGAATTTCTGTCTTCTTCTCCTGCAGGTATCAATCAAGGCAGCTGTTACAGAATCAACCATTTCCCTGATGACAATGACTACGACACAGACAGCTCTGAGTACCTGCTGCGTAAGTGCCCCCCCCACCCTCCCTCTCCCTCCCCCCCATCAGCCTCTGTGTCTGCTCCTGTGAAAACTATCTATTTCTAACAATGTTCAATCGCAAAGAATGAAGTTAAATGTTAAGGGGGAGAGGCGGGATCAACCTCCAATCACAGGAGGAGATTGACTTTATTGTGTTAAGGTCGGACTTTGTGTTAGATGTTTTTCTTACATACGACCTTTTAGTAAAAAGGTCATGTATAATCCCATGACCTCAACCATTGGTTTGATCTGTTGATATTATTAACAAAAACTATAACTTTGATAATGAATATTTAACAAGTCGGTCCGTTTTATCAGTTGTATTGTTGTAGTTTAAAAAATGTTTCTGTCACTGTACTGTAAACGGTTCATTAAAACTAAAAACAACTCGCTCTTTTTTTGATTAATACAATTCTGCTGGCACAAATGTATTCAACATTCAACTATCGGAGGCAATGGGCTGTTTTAAAACATCACAGCACTTCACTGTGAAAATTGGTTTTTATAAAAGGCCGAGCTCTAACATCAACTGTAATTAGGTATTTTAAAAAGACTTCACTAAAACGCAGCCGATGTTCTGCAGTTTCCTGATGGACTGAGTAGAACAAAGAAGAAGGAACCACTCGGTAAAAGAAGTGTTTTTAGCAGAAGGCTCCACGAATGCGCTGTCCTTCCATTCTTGTAAAAAACTTATAACAGGTGATAGTCTGTGAGCGTTTCTGTTACATCCCACGGCTGATTAGAAAAGCTTCATCACAACAAGCCCCCAAAGTGTCTACTAATGATAATATTGTTCCCAAAAAAGTATGGAGAGGAGCTGCAGCTGGAAGGATGAGGGCCCGGCAGAGTCATGAAAACTCAAATTATTGAACCGAATCCAAATTCAGACGGTCGTTTATGAAATGCTTCCTTTGTTAATCTGATGTTATCTGACAGGTTGATTTTACTCATTTGTACTCGCACACACTAACACTAACCTGTTTACTGTCCAATCACATCGGTTAATGAACTGTATCAAAACGATTTCCCGCGGCTAGATTTGGGTTAATGAGCTGTTTTGTCTCTGCAGGGATCGTCCGTGCCTCCAGTGTGTTCCCCATCCTCAGCACCATCCTGCTGATGCTGGGCGGGCTATGTGTCGGAGTCGGACGACTCTACAACAAGACCAACAACGTGGTCCTCAGCGCGGGAATCCTCTTTGTGGCTGCAGGTGAGCAGGAGGCGTGGACGCAGTTGTCAGCTGTAGCAGCACCACGGAGCTGCTGCAGCTGAGTTACAGTAGGAGCCGGAGCTGCACTAATGAACAAAGGCGGCTGGATGAGTCGCAGCCTCTGGTAACTCTGTTGCAATTCATCACTGTTGTAATCATCACGGGCGAACCTTAGCGCCAACTGAACACGGTCGGGATATACAGTCATCACATCTCAAACACACACAAGGGGTGATTAGGGCTGTGATTAGACCTGTAATTAGTGGGCGACCACACTGTAGCTGAAGTACAAGGGGTTCAGTGTGTTGACTTGTTTAGTGGCTGGAATTAATGTTAGTCAGGAGGAGAAAAAGAATGAAGTAAAAACGTTTTTTCTTTTAAATGTTTTACAATAATAATGGATCCTGTGCCACAGAAGAGCCATAAGCATGGGAGCTAAAAACAGCTAACAGGAGCTAGCACAATATATCTTTACTGAAGGGATGTTTAACACCGTGTCAGAGGACGACAACATGGTCGCAGTCCAAAAAATATATTTGACAAGCAGAGAGGATATGATTTAGTCACAGCAGCAGCAATTAGCAAAGAGGCTAAAAACAAACTTAGTGTTTGTTTGTTCAGAGGATATGATTTAGTCACTAAAAACAAACTTAGTGTTTGTTTGTTGTAGACACTGAAAAGAGCGTGAGCACAAGTGATAAAATAATTTCCTCTTTCTTTTCTCATCAGGCCTGAGCAACATTATTGGAATTATCGTCTACATCTCCAGCAATGCAGGAGACCCCAATGAAAAACGCGGTGACGACGACAAAAAGTACACGTACTCCTACGGCTGGTCTTTCTACTTTGGAGCTCTGTCCTTTATCGTGGCTGAGGCCGTGGCTGTTCTGGCCATCAACATCTACATCGAGAAAAACAAAGAAGTTCGCTGGAAGGCCAGACGCGAATTCATCCGCTCACTTTCATCCTCCTCCCCTTACTCCAGGATACCAAGTTTCCGCTACCGCAGGCGGACGTCACACGCCAGTTCTCACTCCACGGAGGCGTCCAGGGAGAATTCACCCGTGGTGGGCCTGAAGCCATCTTCCAGTGGTCCGCTGGACGAGCTGTCCATGTACGCCCTGGCCAGGGACAGTGTTACGGAGAATACATATAGTCCTGAGCACGATGCGGCTGCAGAGTTCCTCCAGGTCCATAACTGTTTTTCTAACGATTTAAAAGACAGCGTGAATCGCAGGACCACACCGGTGTGAGCGGTGGCACAGTGAGAGGTTCTCAAAGTTCAACGGAAGACGATGAAAAAAGCCAGAGGTCTTACCTGCTGCAGCCTGGAGGCTCGTGAAGGCCTGCCATAGAACAGAGGCACAGATTTCAGAGACCTTCCATCTGGACAACAGGCCAGAGGGGCAGGAGTAGATGTTCAGCAGAAGAGCAGACCGGCTGTTGGAGACTCGATTATTTACATTGTTTTTTGACACCATCCAGGCAGAATAGAGATGTAACCGTTTGTGCTGTAGCCGATATTTTGTGTCCAAATGTTTAAATGATCAGTGTGTGAATTATTACTCTTGTTTGTGCAATATTTAGTGCTGTGGTTGCTACACATTGCAGGGTAACTTGAAAGTGCAGCATCGTGTGTCAGTTGGCAGTGTACTATTCTACCTGTACTTTATTTTTTGAAGGTGCTAAACTGCAAATCTCTCCACATCATCAGGAGGGATTCCTCACCTACAAAGCCCCTTTCTTACTTTTATCCTTTAGAAAATCAAGCCTTGTGAAAAGAAGCTTTTAGCTGAAAATATTTTTTAAACATCTCTCCCCACTGAGTCACCATATGACATTTGGCTACTGACTTGTAGCACGGTGAATGTACAGTAACTGAGCTCAATGTAGAAGTCAAACAAAATGAAAGGGTTTTTCACTCTCTGGACGATTCCTCCGTTCGTTTTTCTTCCCCGACATTTTACGAAGGAACAGGGTGTTTGTTTTGTCAGTGGAACACACCTCTGCTCTATTCACTTTCATATCAGTCTGCCATCCTTCCATCTCCCGATGGACTGGACATTGTGTACGTGTCTGAGAAGAGCAGCTGACAAAAGGGGGTCGTCCCCGGAACTGTTGAAAAAAAGGGCACTAGTCGGGACTCTCCTCGCTCTGAACGGAGCCACGGCTTCCAGATTGTCTAATAGATAAGGATAAGACTGAATCACAGAACGAACGTCTGTCTGTCACTCTGCCTGTGAGTCAATCCGGCTGCCATTTCCTGGTTCCTGTGTCAAACTGTGGCCCTGTCTGACAGAGGAAACAGGGAGCTGTCTGCCACCGCGTACCCGGGGGACTCCACTCTCATAACAAGGCATGAGAGGCTGTTTGTGTGTGTGTGTGTGCGCACGCTGTCACCCTGCATGTCCATCTTTGCTTGTTCTTTCCGTTCTCTCAGGAAAAGCTGTGTTGCTGTCGGAGGTTGAATGTTTTCGAGGTCTCATCCAGGCTTTGCGGCAGTAATGGGAATGATGTGGAAAATGACAAATGCCATTTCTGTGTTAGGAAAATGCTGTGAATGTTTGCTTAGGGCTATTCAGTTGGCTCTGATTTTAGCAGACAAGCTGTATGTATGTATGTATGTATATATATGTATGTGTGTGTTTTTATATGTATATACAGGTATATACGTTTATATATATATATACATATATAAAGACATGCATACATATACAGTATATAATATACAGTATTCAATATATATATATTTGATTGTATTAACTGTGCTTTTCTCACACTTTTATATTCCAGTGTGTGGAAAAAAGTTCCAAGGTGTCTGTTTGTATTGTACAGCCATACAATGTACATAAATATACAATAAAAATGTGCAAAACTGGACAGCGCAAATATATGGTTATTGTCATTTCAAGAATTCAAAATAATTCAAAAATATGGTCCAGAATATTCAGAGGTTTTACATATTTACCAATTATTGCAGCAAGTTAAGTATGAAGGGGGAATTTCTCAGTAATCTCTTGTGGCTGAAATGGTACAATAGTTTTTCCTCTGTGTACTTGAGTTAATGTTTTAAAATTCAGCCATATAGCACAAAATAAAAGAGCACTTTACTTTGGGATTGATTTCCTCTTGGCGTCCACATTAGCAGTAAATGTTAGCAGTATCATCTTTCTGGGGTTTAAAGCTGAATTTGTCACTTACTGTAAAAGATGATTTTCTTTCTCCATCTTTGTTCCTGCTCCCCACTGTGTCGCCTGATTGTTCCCTGATCCTCCAATCTACGGGGTTAAATCACAGTGTCAATTACTATGTCAAACATTGTGCAGTGATGTTAAAAGCTTGCACCAAATATGACTGAATGACTCAATTCCAAATTATTGCTCAAACCTTACAATAGTATTAACTTTGATCTTGTAGGTGTTTCTGAATTTGATCAATAGTTGTTTCTGTTGGTGGAGTAAAATATGGTTTGTTTTTTAAATAAAGTTACTGTGCTCAAAATGTGCCTCGTACACACACACACACACACAAAATCAATCAAACTACATCCACCCTCTGATACTGTATGTCTAATTAAACTGGGGAAATTTTCACTGAATGAATGGAAGCTGTTTATTGACCTCTGGGAAATTATTTTTTCTACTAATACCTTGTGTTTCAATACAACAGCAACAACAGTCCTCCGTAATTTCCACCTAATTACATTTTTGTTCAATCAGTCCTATTAAAATGCAATTAACAGTCCCGCCCACTGTCCACCTAAACCTTCACTGTATGGAGATGAGTGCCCTGATGGTTTTCTGCTGGAGATGAGTGAGGACGGCGATGTTGTCTCCACCGAGGTAAGCCCGCAGAGTAACCGGTGCCGTTGTCATAGAGAGGAATATTAACGTGACCCTCATAGAAACGGCCGGGGGGCATGGCTAATCCAATTTAGCTTGAGTGATGTAGCCTGTCATTAGCGAATGAACACAGGCAGGTCCCTCTGAAGACTGCGCAATCTATTCTGCAACGGGTAAAATTAGCCACCAATTAAGGTTGTTTTTCATCCTGAAATCAAAAAGCTGAGAGTGAAGGCAGCAGCTGTAATTGAAGTTAATCACTGCTGAGTTTCAAAGTGTCAATCCTGATTTGAGCCAAATTCTGTCATCGTACCGGCTGTGGTCGCTGCACTGCAAGCTCGCCAGTGGCATTTCTAACAATGTAGACAATACTGTAATAAAGGTTTAAATCCATTCACCTTTATTATCGTGGTCATCCCTACACTGTGACAACGCCGTCCACTGCCGGCTGTTGCCCTGAGTCTTTGCAGCTGCGAGGCATTGAGTCTCTGCACAGTCTCCAGGGAATGGTGAGCAAATGAAGTGGGTCACAGGGTCACTCAGTAAGACAGGCTGCATTATTACACACTTAAGAGACAATCGCTTCCTCTCACAGCCACAGCCAGATATTCGTCCTCGGGGAGAAAGAAAGCAGTTTTGCTGCAAATGCATCCAGGTGGAACGTGATAATGAACAACACGGTCTCTCATCTGCTCCAACCCCCACTGTGGGGGTTAGGGTTTTTTTAAGGAGAGAGAGAGAGAGAGAGAGAGAGAGGGAGAGGGAGGGATGATTTATCAGTGATGATCAATTTCCTGGTTCAGTTAGTTACTGATGGTGTTTGAAGAAAGCACTTTTACTCTCATGCTACATTCACTTGACACAAAGTGTAAGACTTCATACATTGCCTCTGCTTCAGTCTCTGCATCAACAGTAGGAGAAGAAGAATCACATTATTATCGTCACTGTACGTCTACAGACACACCAACACAAGGACATTTTTCCTCTGTATTTAACCTGTTGACACATTCCTGGGGAGCAGCGATTGCTGAAATCGTGGTGGGGGATTCAACCCTGGGTTTTCTGATAACCAGCTCAGTCTCACAACTAGACCATGGGCTACTATCTCAGATATGCAGACGAATCATAGTAAGACTGTGATGCATGCCATACTATCACAAACACTCTTGTCGCTGGTAATTTAAATGATAACAGTCTGGATATTCCCACATTCTCAATCTTCTTTTGTAGCCCTGTCCCTCATGTGGACAAAAAAACTATCTAATGTATAAATGTAATCCCTAAAGTATTAAGATTAGGGATTAGGGATTGTTTTATACCTCCAAAGCATTTGAAGGGAACCACAATCAGCAGACGTTTCTCCCGCTGACCTTGATTCTAAAAATGTTTTGATGGATTCAAAAGTCCGATATAAAGTTCAATACAAAACTGTGGGTAAAAAAAAAAAAACATAATTTGCTGCAAAGCCTGGGGAAGAGACTATTTCTATTCTTCATATTTTATTTTACTTTATTTCCACTTTACTTTACTTATTTGCTGTTATTTCCCTTCAGTGTCAAAGATGGACAACATTACAGGGGCCTTCAGTGGCTGGTGCACCAGAATTCCCCTTTTTTTCCCCACACTTCACCTGCACATCTGTCTTTAAATGTCACTCCGTGTGTTGAAAAGCCTGAACTGCGTGAGCCTTGTCAGGACCGGAAAATGGGCCAGAGTCGTGTCTTAAGTGGGGCAGAGCGGTTTATAAAAAGCATGTCCATTTACTCTAGTAGTTCATCGGGAAAAGGCTGATTATGCCTCTCAGGTGGAGTGGGTTTTTTAACATCTCCCTTAAAATGCTTTAACTTTTTTGTAGAGTTTAACAGTAATAAAAGAAAAATGGAAAGAAGAGCCAGTATCAGCACTCATTTGTCATTTCAAAAAGATACTGTGTATCAAACTATACACACAAAAATCTTTATTGTAAAACTCTTAAATACTATTACCTCATTTAAGTCTGTAGAGCAACTAGAAGTATTTCGGAGTACTTCTGTATGTCATGGCTCTGCATGGTTTACTACTTAAATGGAGTTTTAAATGGATCAAATCAGGTGAGACCCTTGTTTTTTCATTGTTGAGTGCTGATTGGCTGGACAGTGATTAACAAAATGGAACTGATGATGAGCGTTAGCTTCAATAAATCAATATTTTAAATGGCTTTAAAAAGCAAACATGATTATGTATTTCTGTACCAATATGACTCAGAGATAAAAAAAATATGGTTAGCTACAAAACCAGAAACTACTTTAAAGTATGGTGTGTGTGATCCTGAGCCATTAAAGACAAAACGGTCAAATGATGCCCGGTGAAGGTGTGAGCGCCACACACCGCTACATCTTTATGATGAAGCTGAGTGCCCAAAGCTCGCCAAAGGCAACTAGGGAGGGAGAGGAAGAGAGGAGAGTCATAGAAACTAGGGCACTGTTATCTGGCCCATTTTTACCAACCACAAGGCGCCAGGCAGAGAAAGAGAAGAAAAGAGCCTCAGACAGGAGAAGAAGAAAGAAGAGAGGACATCGGTGTAAGTGAAGCGTCAAACAGAAGATCGAGGAAACAGCAGCAATTCCACGTTGGACAACACGGACCCAAAGAAAAGGGGACAAACGAAACCTTGATTGTCTTGTACGATCACGCTCACCTTTCACCTGCTGTCTCTCTTGTGCGCACACACACACACACACACAGACGGACGCACGTGTGCAGACGCGAGCAGGCTCGCTCACACTCATCGGAAAGCAACATGTTTGAGGAACAAGCGACCAAGGTGAAAATCACTTCGGTGGTCATCCTAGTGGGCATGTCGTCGATGCTGGTGGCCGTGGTGACCGACCACTGGGCCGTCCTCAGCCCACGTGTAGAGAAATTCAACGTCACTTGTGAGGCAGCCCACTTTGGCCTGTGGAGGCTCTGCAAGAAGACCATCTTCATGGTGCGTGAAGACCCTCAGGGCAAAGGCTGTGGCCCCATCGGCCTACCTGGAGGTATGGAACGTGGCGTAAAAATGCTAAGAGTTTAGATGCGTATTCAAGGTGGAAGTGTGTTACGGAGCCGCTGATTGTCTTCTCCGCAAAAAGAGTGACGCTGAAGTTGGTTTAAATCAGTGCAGAACATTGATGTTCTGAGTTCTGAGTCTAGTTCTCTCTGCTCTGAATCCGTCTTACATCAACTGTGTCTGTGAAGCTTTAATTGTGGGACAGTTGACTGGTCAGTGACAGTTGACTGGTCAGTGACTGGTCAACTCTTCCTGACCAAGAATATATTCACTTATGTTTGTGCGTGAGTCCACACATCTGCTGTAACCCTACCCTCCTCACTGAGCCGTCATTAGTTTCAAGTGACGAGATCTGAGAACAAGCCAACACTCACACACACTTTAACATCCAAAGTCAGGTGCATAATGGAAGAGTCTTCCGCTGTACTTCACTTCTAATGTGACAACAACAGGTTGGGGCTGATAGGCTGAAAGTTGTTTTGACTCAGCTTAAGTGAACTTTTTCTTTTCTCGTTTACAGTGTTTTATTCATTGTTCACTCAGTTATAGTGATTGTCAATGGATCCAAAGCAAAATTGCCACAGTAATTGTCTGCAGGTAGATTATATATAAGAACCTCCTGCGTACATTGAGATGCTGAAGTTTGATTTTCCCTCATGTTTTTGCCTGTTAGAGCTTTGTTATCAAAACAACACTGGTGGTCTGAAGTTGATCAAACCGACAGTTGAACTTGATCCAGATGTGTCCGGGGGTAAAACATTTAATATTGACAGTACGACACCAGATTAACAGGGATTTGATTCTGATAGTTTTAACCTTACAACAGCAGTAATTTGTGAATGAACTAATTCTCTGTAAGGGACGTCATGTCCTATACTTAAGAACAAGTGGACACAGTCACTCTGCTGTTGTACTTAAAACGTGCAGGACACGAGTTGGACTTTAATTACCAGTTGCCTTCCAAGAGTCCAACCTAGGGGTAAACTGCATGTACTCGGCCACTGACTGTGCGTGCCTGACAACCCAAGAGACAAATTTCACTTGGACACTTGGTCATTGACTCCGTTTCCAACAGCGACTCCTTGGGATCAGTGCAGGCTCCTCCATTCCTACTCCTGACTTAGAAAACACCAGGGAGACTCAGGAGGGATGAAGGGGATGAGGGGAGAAAGGTGAAATGTTCAATGAGCACGCACCAATACTTCTCTGTCCATGGGTAATTTGGGGGTAAATATACATCATTTAAAGAAGTTACAACATATATATATATATATATATATATATATATACATATATATGTATAAACAGAAGTAAAATAGATTTTCTGATGAAATTTAAGCATCAAATAAAACAGCTGACTGAGTGACATGAACACCGCGGCACTTGCTCCTTAATTTAATGCATGTTGTAGATCGACTGTTGAACACCTGAGCATCACACACACAAAAAAGAGTTGATGAAGAGTGCAGTATAATGTGCATTCATTAGCATTTTCCCAAAAAGAGGACAAGAGTTTATGGAGAGGCTTTTATATGGTGAGAATTATACTGCTTTCTGTGGAGGGGTTGCATAACAACGGGTGGCAACGTGGCAAAAACCTGGATGACTCCTGAAACTGCTTCCCACAAATGACGCATGCCAGCTTGAGTGCTGTTAAAAAATCAAACAAATACACTGTGGATCACATCACGTTGCACAGCAGGGAAATAAAGAGGATGAGGAGTGTCCGCGAGCTCGTGCCTGTGTGTTAGTGTTTGTATCCCTACAAATGCAGTACGGGCGCAAAGAAGAAATCAGGAAGGAAGTTCAATGTAAGACAATTTTCACAATCCCTCAAGTTGTCAGGCATCAATTTTTCCCAGGCTCCAAAGTAGTAAAAGATCAACCGCAGAACATGTAGACCCTAAAATAACATTTTCCTGTTCTGCCTCTCTCGGTGACACGGCACTCGCTGCAGTCGCCCCCAATTCAAACCTGTGTCACCTTCAGCCAGCGTTTTACTTTATAGAGATTCAGAACTCGCTCTTGTTTTTCTCCACTGCCTGCTGCAGAACTGTGGGTGTGCTGCTTTGGCATTCAGAAAACTAGTTAAACAGTCGCGTGAATCATTCTCCATTATGTAAATGGACGACACGCAAACTTTAAATACATGCTCACAGTCAACAGCTGCCACCGTCCTCACATACAACTGTGGTGATTTGAATTTCATCATGAAGGTCACACTCACACACACACACACACACACACATGGAGGATCCCTGGAGCCACCAAAGGACTTTTCTGTAGAGTAGTGTCCCAGTTATTAAGTCTCCTGGCGGAGCAGCCTTCCAAATAACACCACTCATCGTCTTCACATTGACCCATAATTAGAAGGCCATTCTGCCAGGCTTGAAAGAGAACAGCACCCCTATTTATCTTCACCCTTTTCCATGCCCTTTTACACAATGGTGTATTTCTCCAAATGACAAACAGCTGTCATAATGCGTAAAGACGCAATATGTCACCGGCAAGCTGATCGCCTTCAACCGTAAACTTTTAAAAATGAATGAAAAGAGGGGAGAGCTGTGAGGAGAGTCACAAGACGATGAGAGAGAAAAAGAGGGAGAAAAAAAGTCACAGAGGTGAGAGGAGAATAAAAGGAGACGTTGAAATGACAGGTTCTATGACCGGTGAAGAGGAGAGGTGTCGAGGAGAAGCCACATGTACGACAGAGGAGGAGGTGGTATCAGGGCCTAATGGAGAGAGGTGAAACTAAAATGACAGGCGATACTTCCGTCTAATCAAACTCCCCCGTGAACTAAATCTGCCCATTAACCAGACTGCAAGGTCAATAACATGCACCAAGATGTTCTCCTCCGTCCTCAACGTCCACCATCCAGAATTATAATAACACGCTGCATTAGTTTACAGATGCACTTTGAGTCCTTTGCTGTGAAAATGTGAGTGAAATGTGGTCAGTGTGTTTTGCAGCATTCCAGAAAATGTTAATTGTCAAAATTTATAATTTTGAGCCCTGTATTTAAAACAAAAAAAACCCTTTTAATACATTTCTAAAAACATTCTTTTCCCTTTGACTGTATTTAAAGCAGAAATAATGAGCACAGATGCTTTAACTTGACAGGACCACTAAATAAATCAGTTCTGATTATCGCTGACATCAATGAACATAACACCTTTCATCTGCTGTACAAAACTGAACAACTATTTCTTTTAAAAAGTGTGTAAAAGCCAAAAAAACTAAAATTCTAGTTTTTCTTTTAGGCTCTTTAAATTGAAACTATTTTGATATGTAAGAAAAATAATCATGCTCCCCATGATTATTTTTCTTACATATCAAAATAGTTTCAATTTAAAACTATTTTAACATGACTAATTAGCCTCTGGAGCTTCATGGACCGCTGGACACAGAGAGCAGGACCCAGGCCTGAATAACACTGCAGATACAAACCGCACGGTGACCCAGCCTCCACTCTGGCCCGCTGGTAGTCTCATACAGCACACGATATCCCATAATAATATGCCTTACACGCACACGTAGCCCTGTACGTATGAACACGTATGCATGCAGCGCTGCCTCTGATATGGCTTCACATGAGTAAATAGACAGTGCTAGCCAGGACCTGCAGCAGCCTGTTGCTAGGTTACGTCTTTAGTGATTCTTTCTCATCCAGGGTAACAAACAACTCCTGTGTCTACTGACACACACACACACACACAGAGCACACAGTCCGTCTCTGTGTGGACAGAAAGCACAGCACCTGTCTGCTTTATGGGTTTAATCTCAGTGAGAAAGGATGGCGAGTGGAGGAACGAGGGGACACTCACTTGGCCTTTATGTCCTCTCCATCCCTTCATCCCTTTGTTAGAAACAACAGACAGACTGACGAATGTGTAGGTAATGATGGCAGCCAGGATCCTTTGCCCTCCCCTCCCCCCTCTTCCCCACTGTGCATAAGAAGGCTGTATTGTAGATTGTAGTCAAAGGTTTAAAGTCTGAGTGAAAAAAAAGTGTTGCTGAATTCATTATTATTCCTGCAGTAGTGCAGCATAAGCCAGTGTGGAGGATGGAGGAGTATCGGAGGTGAAGAAACGTATTTTGACGGTGGGCCTCAGTAGTTGTAGTAAACAATAGTGGACCTGATAAAACAGTCAGAGGAAATGTGTGCGGGTTGCAATCTAAATTTTTGAGAAAAACAAAAAAAATATGTTTATTTATGCCTTTATAAAACATAAAACAAAATGTTTTCTTTGTTCTCTACAGTGGGTCTCAATACTATTTTGATAAAGCTAAGATATATCAGAGAAGACTGGTATACAAATACATGTGTACTGCAAGAAAATATATAGTAAATGAAATAGTTTTTTATTTGTTAAGTGTTTACATTACATATACATCTATATATGTATATATTTGTATGAATATGTATATATTTGTTATGCAGTGAATTGCAATTATTTTGATGGTGTTTAATTCTGTCTTTTAATGTTTTCTCCTTACTTTGTTGCTGGATTTAGTATCTAATCTAATCCAATCTAATCTAAATTGGATTTTCAAGCATTTTATTTAAATTGTTGTTTTTGTTGTCATTGTATTTTTAACATACATATTACACCAAAGACTCACTGGGTGTGAGGTAAGTGTTAGGAGCTCACGCACACCAACACACCAACCCTGAGCTTCACCATGAGCCACACAATACAGTCCTAACACTGCTGGGTAATACAGCTGTAACCTGAGTCATGTTTCATCTCCGTCTCTCTCTCTGTCTCACCTCCTCTGCCACTTCCCCCCTGATCTCTCACCTCTTTTTACTTTGCAGTGAAAAACTGTTCCTACTTCAAACACTTTACGTCTGGGGAGGAAGCTGAGGTTTTTGAAGTCAAGACCCAGAAAGGTGGGAGTTATTTTTTTTCTGAAGCTGCACCAAAATTACATGTTAGGGAAAAAAAATCTTGTTTTTCAAGGCCGAACCATCTGTCTGGAAAAAAAAAAAGATTTGAAAGGCAACGTGTGGGGTAAATTTCTCAAAGATTTCAGCTCAGACATCATAACGCCGCTTTTTAAAAGTAAACACGATTTCAGGAAACAGCCTCTCTGTTCCTGCAGGTAGTGAACCAATGTAATTATGGCTGTATTTCCTCTGTTGCAGCCTCCCACTATTCTGCTGCCTGTTGATTAAAGCATCGATTGCCACTACATTTCTCTTTAGATATCAATTTTTATCCCATAATCCAGAACCAAGTCTGAGATCTTTTTCATAAAAATCACCACCAAAATCGCACTAAAGAATAATAAATCTATTAAAAATACATATATATATATAACATACACATATAATCAGAGCTTTGGTGGAGGAGGCTCAGCTCAAGGTGATTTTACACATGTTCTACCGGAGTCAGGGAAGGTGCTAGAACTGAAAACAGCTGCTCTGGGATCATTTCCATAACAGTTGGACTGTCACAGGAGATAGAAAGAGGAGATGATCTTTATCTGACAAATACTCATCACAAGATGAAAAGTGGGATGGAAGTAGTAGGAGTTGTTCTAATTATCTTATTAAAAGCCTGCGGCGTCTTATCCGTGATGCATATGACATCATTGAATAAACGACTTTTGTTTTTCAAGTGAAGCTAATTTAAAGGCTAATTATCTGTGTCATAACTCGCCTGAGTGCAATATTGAAACAATAATTATGTAAGCGATACCGCAACCTCCCCTTCTGTTCCGACCTACTCTCTTCACTTATTACCACTATCACTCCATTCATCACTACTTCCTTCTGCCTTATTGTTTCCTCTCACTCTCCCTTACTCTCTCTCTGTCCTCAGAGTACAATATCTCAGCGGCAGCCATCGCCATATTCAGCCTCTTCTTCATGATCCTCGGCACCCTCTGTGTCATCTTCTCTTTCGGGAAGGGTCGTGACTACCTGCTGCGGCCCGCTGGGATGTTCTTTGCCTTTGCAGGTCATAAATGTGGACTATGCTACTGAATTTGATTTGTGCTCACGTTGTTTGTGTTCCAGTCCAGTGGGTGAGTGTTACCATCATCACCACAAACTCCCTGCTTGTTGAATATTTATGATTCAGAGACTTCAACATTCAACACTTCACTGGTTCCATCTCTTTAGTATGGGGTTTTTCTCTTCTCCCCGTGTGTGAGTGGGTGTGTGTGTGTGTGTGTGTGGGGGGGGGGTCGAGGGTTTAACCTCACCTTTCACTGATAATTGCTGAGATTGACTACAGTCCACACAGAAACTTAACTGATAGATTAATAGTCATTATTATTCATTTGAAAATGAATGAATAAATTCAACATGAAGTCATTTGTTGTTCTGTAGGGCAGGGGTCTCTACATTTTCTTAAGCCCAGGAATACTCAAACTGATGTAGAGAGTTTGAGTGTTTTACTGTACATAAATGTCAATGTACCAGGTTATTTATGAAATTATTATTTTTTCAAATATCTATGTTTTTATTCTAAACACCAGTATAAAAAAACATGTTTAAACAACTAAAACCTTCTCAACCCCCCGCTGTACCTTTGTGGACCTCTAAGGTTGCTGTCGACTCGTGTATAGCTGTTAATAAGAAAACAACTTTGACAACCCAGCCTCTAACAACCTCCTCCCCACAGGTCTCTGCATCTTCATCTCTGTGGAGGTGATGCGCCAGTCTGTCCGACGTATGATCGACAGCGACGAGACCATCTGGATTGAATACTATTACTCCTGGTCCTTTACCTGTGCCTGTGCCTCCTTCACCATCCTCATCCTCAGTGGAGCCGTCCTGCTTCTAATCTCTATGCCGCACATGCCGCGTAATCCCTGGGAGACCTGCATGGATGCAGAGCCAGAGACCTTAGATTAGCAACAGCACAGTTATTGTAGAGTGATAGAAAAAAACATGTGATCAACCTGTTGTCTCTCCATTTCCAACCTCTCAGAGAACAATGGCTTTGTTCAGGCTGGTATATTTTTCCTATTATGACCTAGCATTGGTTTAAGGAAAGTTACATTTAAATCTTATCTTCCATATGTCACCCTTTTAAAATCATAATAATTACAACATAAATTCTAAAGGCACCAGGTTCATTTTAAGGATATGGTCAAACAAAACAAAAAGAACTCTGAAAACAGAGCATACGACTTCCCAGCAGGTGGTGATAAAAACACAGTTATTATGCTGTAATACATGGTTTGAACGCATTAGGAAAACAGTGTTGTTTCATACATAGTTATTCCCCCAATTTGTTCAAAACATTCAATCTCTCTTTTCCCTGCTGTTTGATGGCTTGAGGCGAAGAATGAAAAAGAAAATAAATTCTAGTCCTGAATAATTATCAACAATATCTTTATTTGAATAATAATATGATAATCAAGCCCTAAATCACCAGACATATACAAAACATACATGAAAAAAAATGTAACAGTAATTACTCTTTGTCTAGATATGGTTATTATGACTTTCCTTTTATTATTTGTTAAACACATAGACATAAATGAATGGTCTTTTGTTGATGTTGTTTTGTTTTTCTTTTAGATAATCTATTTCAAACAGGCTGTAATAGAATAGAGTGAGCGTCTGTTTCAATAATCAAGCTGGTTTTTACAAGAAGTTTAATAAATAAAATGTAAAAATGACTATAAAAACACAGAAAAGTTGATCTGATCTAGAACAACAGTCGGTTTAATCTTAATGTTATGGTTTGACTATGACTCTCTCTGAACTTATATAAGAGGTTTAAAAAGTGTGTTCTTCTCATAGAATTGTACGGAGGCTTTTTGTTTTTTGCAACGCAGCTACCTAAATATTTTGCTTTTCTTCGGGGGTGATTTTTATTTGAGAGCTCACCTGCATCTGAATGCTAACAAGAGAAATGATACTGATCATTTTCAATATTGCATATAAATGTGAGACAGAACCTTGAACTGCTAAAGGGTTTCTTTTCGTGGAGACAAATGTACATTATGACTTCAGTATTGTGTTGCTTTGGGAAGAAAGGCTCATTCTGTGGCTTTTTAAATATATTTAATACATGGACGACCTTTACTGTTCTCTACAATCAATAAAAAAAATACACAAAAATCACATTTTACCTGACAGCAGAATTTATTCTATTTCCTCAGTGCCGGCTACACACAGGTTGTATCATTGTTAGCTACACATTGGTCTAGGTCTTATGTGTTCCTTCTCAGAGAGTGGCTGTGGCCCTGGAGTCACTGAGCTGTTGCAGTGATGGTGAAATTAAAGTTTCTAAATGAACCTCTTTCACAGAGGAAATATTACATCTACCTCCTGGGTCCTGGTGACGATAACATTTCTGGGGTTGTTTCCCAACTGTAGTCACAAAAATATTATTTTCTTTCATTGGACAGGTTTTTATCTGAGGAAATTGAAGACAAACCAAAGTCAGTGTAGTGAGGGTTTTTCTAACTAATGACTGTGTGCTTTATAAAGAGTGAATTTGCAGCCTTCAGTAATGTGAGTCTGATTGAGATTGTAATCCATTTAGGTAAATCTTGAAAATGAAAATGAAATTTAATAAACACAATTTTACTGATGCTTCAGTATATCTAAGTTCCTGTAATATTCTCAAGATAATTTTCCAACAGAATAAAAACAAAAATAAAAATAAAACCTAAGGCACATACAGTATATGTACTCGTTTGCATCAGTATTGGAGAGATACTTCTGGGCTGCCCCCACCTTCACAGATCAAGACAAACTATAGACAAACTGAAATACTGTATGATGATGTGAGGCTGATGGACCCTGGCCATTTATTTTTTACAATGTGCAGCAACACCATCAGCGGAGAACTTGCATAAACCAGTTGAATCATGTTTGACCGTCAGCTGTTTGGACAAGTGTGGTCAGAAGCTGTTTTTGTGGAAAATTTGAGTCAAAAAGATTTTTTAAATCAGTGGGAGAAAAAAAAGTTTGATGTAATAAGAAGGCAAGTGATTCAAACTGTGCATGTAGTTAAAGGAACTGGGAACATGAAAGTAGGAGCAAGGTTGGGGAGTAGTGTCCAAACCCAGTGAGAATTCATCGGAGAATCAGTGAAGAATTGAATAGATAATTGGTATCAATAATCATCCCTGCTTCCTGCCACATCCCTTCATAAATAACCTAGCACTGTATGTAGAAGAACAAATATTACAAATAGTTTTTGTTGCCCATTCTGTGTTTTAATGTAGAGGCAACAATGGCCTGCTGTGTTACTGCTTCTTCATTTCGAGTCACTGCGGTCGCAGAACCTCTCAACCAGAAAATGTGTTTCAGTAAGTGACAAATATATTGGAAAAGCTGTGCAGACCTTTCACACCGCGGGTCAGATGTATTCAGAAGTGGATGTAATGGATGCACAAAGTTCTCACAGCCGCTCATCAGACCTTAAACCCTACAGGGATGAGATCAGCGCGAGCAGAACAAACAGTGAAACGTGGCTCTGTCTCTGTATTTGATCCCTGTCATTGTAAACAATTTCCAAAGTGCTGGATGGACAAAGCGACAAAAAAAAAAAGCTGCATCCTGTAAGATTTCTAATTGTTTTGCTTGTTGAAAAGGTCAATGAAACAATGCTGAGGTGGTTTTCTTATGTAACAAATGCTCGGCTCACTGCTGCTCTGCCCTCACACTCTTCTCATTTCCTCACTTCACAGGCTCAGAGGCAAGACGCCGGAAAAACAACATCAACAACAACAACAATATTGCACACACGATCGGTCTGAATGACGGAGATTATTCATTACTTCTTGAAGCTACTTTGCAGGTGTTGTGTGATTTTCTATTATTTTGTTGTTTGAATGCAATACTATGTAATTATGGCTGTGACATTTGGAAACAAGGCATCCACAAATCTCTGCCTTTGAATCCTGTAAAGTGACTTCAGGTCATGTTACTACAACAATTATTGAGGGAAAATAAATCTTCAAACACATTACCACTTTTCTTCCAGGCTAAGACTTAAAGGTCACATTACACGTCATTCCCTGGAAAAGTCTGACTTTCAAAAAAGGATGTTGAAATAATAGAACATTATTTGTACTAATATCTGACTGTGTGTTTTTTTACTCACCAAGACACATGGTTCTGACTACAATCCACCAACTCAATAAAGCCAGATTTGGGTTTTACATTTTTTCATATTTATAATTTTATCATTTGTTATTCACAAATGAAACCACATACATCTACCATCTGTTTGTCTCTCTGTTCCAGCAATATAATGGATAAAAAACCCTGTTTTTGTTTCATATTTTTAGGAAAGTTGATTTATCTCATTATCATAAATCATGATTAATCCACATTTGATTAATTGGACTAAAATTCAAATATTATTTATCTTTTTTCTTGACAAATAAAGATAAATAAACAAAGCCATGACAGTTTTTTTTTAAATAACACACAGTCATGTTTTTTTTGTTGTCTTTATCAGCACTGCAGGATCAACATTTCTTTATTTCATCAAATGTGTTAATCTGCAGTGAGGTCAAAGGTCTCTCTGTAAGGACAAAGTAAGGAGGTCCAACTGATTCATTTGTCCCCACAGTCCTAACATATGGGAAGTGTTGGTGACTTCAGGTTTGACTGCGTCACAGCCGTGTCTCTTCTTTACATTTGCCTCTTCAGAATTGAACCTTAAATCTTCTCTCCTTCTGATCCATTCTATTATTTTCACCAGTTCCTCATTGTTTCTCTCCTGTGCAGGCTGCGACTCTGAGCCACTGCTTCATCTCCACCTTCTTTTATCTGTTTTTTCCCCTCTTCTCTACCCCTCTATTCTCTCCTTCCACTATCGTTCCACTCCACTGCTCTTCCAAGCAGCCACTCTGCTGTCTAATGACTTGGATCGGTGGTGACTGTGGAGAGGAGATAGACCTGTAATAAGACCATCTAACCTGTGAGAGAGTGCAACGTGAAAACTCGTGTTTTATCTGTCCGCTGTACGCTGCTCTCTAGCCCGCAGGCAGACCGGAGGCACGGGTGCAGGGTCGGGAGGTCAAGCTCCTCCTGTGTTTTGGAGTGTTTGACGAAACAACATGTGTATGGTGTTTAGAAGTGGAGAGAAAGAGCTGGTCTGGTCAATTCAGGGAGAGAGGGAGAGAAAACAGACGAGACAGAAGTCTCCTCTGGAGATATTGGAGGTGATGTATTTGGGGTGACGATGGATGAGTTCATATACTGAAGGTCAAACGTACAAGGTACAGAATGGTGCACGGAGCAAGGTTAGGATGAATTGGCAGGATCAGAAATGAACAAATCAGAGGAAGAACTGAGGTTAAACAGTTTAAACAGAATGTTTGGGGAGAGAAATTGGAATGATCAGACAGGGGAAGGCAGAGATAGAAAAAGAAGACGTGTGAGAAGATACTTGGAGGAGGTGAAGGAGAACATGTGGAAGTATGGTGTAATGGCAGGGGAAAAAGCAGGAGGATGAGGAAGTAAAAAGCAAAAAGAAAAGAAGTTTATTAAAGTTAAAAACTGTATTGTGATTTTTTCCCCACTGTACAATAAAACTGTTGCCCACGCGAAAAAAAGTTAGTGATTCGAGTTTAATACATGACTCTTTTCTTCCTTTCTCTCTCTCCTGTTCTCCTTCAGTCACTCACTCACTATTTTTGTGAATTACTGACATTATTAATGTAAGTCTGATGAGTAATGACTGGAGAGGATAAAAGGTTTCTCTGTCTCCCTTCCCCTCTCTCTCTCTCTCTCTCACACACACACACACACAGGAAATAATTGCTCAGAATGATGAGGGTGGAGGCGGTATTTTGTCCAGTCTTTGTGTAGAAAATAGATTTGGGTAAGTCATTATGGTTTGTTTCTGTTATGTAAGAAAAGACAGAGACAGGAGAAGAAGAAATGAACAGGACTCACTCTGACAAAAACAACACACACTCATTTCAGGGTGAGCCGTTCGCCCGGCTCTTAGTAAACAGCAGTAATGTGTTTCCACTTCTCCATGTTTTGTTTGTCTTTAATATTCTTTTCTTCTTTTATTGTCACGCGCTTTTCACCTCTTTTTTAAAAGTCTATTTTTGTTCTGTTTTAGATGAAAACGACATCAGAAATGTCTGACATTATGCTAAGATAAAACTACTAAGCTGGGCAAAACCAGTGTCACATCAAATTTAATCACTAGGACTGTATGTTGGTGAGCTAGATAGCAACCTGGACTCTGATTGGACGGGTTCTTCCGAGTACGCCGATAGAGCTTCTGTTTTCCTCACTGTTATGCTAAAACTGTCATCTCCATCATGCCGGTCTGTGAGTCACCCATGGGAAACGTAGGAGGCGATAGTCTAAGTACAGCTGAAGTTTTCTCGACTTTGATTTTAATTTTTCTTGTTATACAGAATGTAAACTCGTTTCTCCGATGTGAATTTCTTAGTCGCCATGGAGACTGGAAGAAAGGGGCAGAAACAAAGAGGGAGAAATTCCTGCTTTGTCGGCCAGAGGAATGAGTGGTCCTTAAACACGACCGGAAGGGCAGAGCACTTTGCACTAATCAAGCTTTTCACGCTGCTCTCACGTCCGTCAGCCGTCCTACAGGCTGGACACCCTTGACTAAAGAAAATTTCCTCCGTAACACCGATAACTGTTTCAGGGTTGACAAGCCCTGTTAGCTGTACGGTGTCTGACCGAAAACAAATAGCTTGAATGGGATTTTTGCCGCCTCAGTCGTCAGTCAACTGGCGTTAGCAAGATCTGACGTCCACCCACCAATGAGAGCCTCTGTTTCAGAACCGGTTTTATTTATACTATAATTTGATTTGTATTCAGTGTGTGCGTCAGAGCTTTAAAGTTCAGACATGTCACTGATTCAGACTTACTGCACATCTGTGAGGGGTTGTTCTCACTGTGTGTTGACTAAAATGTGACTCTTTGTCTATTGACTGGATTAGGACATTAGGACAGACGTGTTTGTCCATGATTTCTATATTTTAACATACATTAATTATTCCCTGCATGAATTTGTGGATTATTCTGTGTGTACTTTGGTGTAGAAACTGCTGTTAGAAACAGTAGTCAGTGAACAGGTGTGTCTTTGTTCCCACTGCACAGGGCGTGTAAGTATGTGTGTGTGTGTGTGTGTGTGTTACAGCACCAATTATCACCTCTGTCTCTTGTGCAATTAAACCCCATTCTTCTTATGAATCACTAAAAATGATACCTTTTATTTTTTTTATTGTGTGTGTGTGTTGAAGGTTGAAACTCGGTCACTCTGCTAATTAAAGGTGCACGACTCAGTAGAACGGACCATTAAATTTTATTAGCATTCAATTAAATGCCAACCAAATTCTAACCCTCTCCTGTCCTTCTGGTCCGAGTTCACTTGACCAACACGGATGAAGCTTGGTTCAACTAAGAGAGACAAGACAAAGGTGACCTTCTGTTGAACTTCAACTTGGAGGTGAACTTACAGTCACTGCTTATTTACTGGACCATTAAGACTTTTAGACACAGAAACTTTCCAGCAGTTTCTTCCACATTTAATGGCAACGAGCAGATTGTGTTGTCTGTGCCACTCACTTCTATTTCTACACACAAATCTGTGCTTGGACACGAGAAGAAAATTAATTTGTCTTCGAAGGTTTCAGAGATTATTTTTTGATATATTTTTGTTATTTTTAGCAACATTTTGGATAACTTTCTAGCTACATTTCCTAGTAGCACTAAACATGAGCTGTTTTATTTTTTTTATAAAAACTTTTAACTAACCTTTGGTAAATGTTTATCATTTCAGTACAGTATTTTTTGTACTACCTTAAAACAAATGTATTTACACTTCATTTCATTTACTATTTATACTACAAAAAAAACAACAACCCACATTTACTTCAGGTGAAAAACGCCCCTCCCCATATAAGAATATGATGGGGTGTATGTTATGATGTCAAGGACAGTTTGCCCCTCCTCCTTTCATAATTTCTGACCCTGCCGCTTTGAGCCACTTCTCCACAGACTGACTCCTGAGTGAGCATCAGACAACACAGAGAATCTTTAAACTGGTATTTTTTGAACATCTTCCTGCTCTGTCCTGATTGGCTGACGTATAGCAACCAGTGTCTCCATAGTGACATGGAGTCAGCGGAGCTGTGGGATAATCAGCAAGCCTGAAACACATGGCGGCCGCTGTGACGAGGCAAAAACAACACATCTGTACAAAGCTGCAGGTCTGGAAAGAGCACGTGCACGTGCAAAACGTGCCACGTGCACAGGAAACAAACACCATGCACACATTCTCCAGTCATTGCACACCGTGGCTGCTATAATGAGCAGTCGTCGCTTAATCTGCGAGAAGAAATGCAACCTGAGCCCAAAGATGAGAAAAGATGTGCTTCCACCTCAGCAATATCTCTCAGCTGGCCATAAGTTCAGATTTCATTATACATTATTCAGCAGACAATCTTCTGGTCTAAATGAAATGTGCATGACACCTGCCTGGCTGTCAGACCCTCTCACGATTTGGAAATTGGAGGCCTGATTTCACCTGCAGAAAAAGACACTTTAAGCAGCTCATTTGTAGGATTGCTACATGTTCTGTTAATGGTGATGCTGGTGCTGAGGCACCGTCACTACCAACACCACAACCTTGTGTTTGGGTTTTAGACTAGCAAGGATGAAAGCTGAGAAATGGATTGGATGTCAGTAGTGTATCCATGGTAACAGTCCTGACATCAATGCGTCAATCACCGCTCTAAAAGGTTGCATCTGCATGATTGATGAGGACGAGTGCAGATGTAGCCACACAACAGTGGCATTTAGGAGAAACATGTTGAAGAAATCTCCTCATGTTTGTTCACTAAATGATCAGCATTTGAAAGTGATGTTCATGACACTGCTGATGCTCTGGGATCGGCTTTCAACGCGTGGGTTGGCTTTCAATAGTAATGAGTGTTTTGGGGTTGTTTTGTTTTTGTCTGGTTACAAATGTTTAAAACTGAAATTATGAACATTATCAATTTTGTAAAATGTACTTTTTAACTAAAGTTTTTTTAAATAACTTAAATAAAATGTCCCAAATTATACAAAAATATGAGAAAATCATATTTCACAAAAGGTATTTCTATTTCTATTTAACAAAAAGTTATGTGAAGATTCTATACAGTACAAAACTGCTAAAATGGCTCAGTACTAGTCATTACAACACCTAAAAGATTACATTACAAATGTACAAACAAACCTCAAGTGGACTGGGATAATGTTTCTCCACGGAAATCTATTTAAACGCTATGAATGTGAGAGTAAACAGTTTTTTTTGTGCCTTTTGGTGGCCCTCTGTTTGTCAGTTGTCAAATGGTGCAGCCTTCGTTCATCCAATGGCTTCTAGGAAAGGCTCCAGCTTCCTCCATCAAAATGAAAAGGATTAAGCTATAGATCTACAATAAGTAGATCAGATCTACCAGTAGATTGCAATACATTTATAAATACATATATATAATTCTACAGTATTTGTGTAGTAGTGACCATATAGTGTAAGAATCGTATCTGATTGTGTCATAGAGCATTTAATCAGTATCCCAACATCTAATGTATTTATAAAATATGTTCAGCCTATATGAGTAAATATATATTTATCATTTTCAAGGTAGGTAGCTCCCGAACCAAAAAAGTGTGGACACCCCTACAATAGATTAATGAACGTATGAATGAATATTTACGTTACTGCATAGAATTAAGCAAAACACCGGAATGTTCTGGCTCGGCAGGCTAAATTTCTGCTGCACCATCTGCTGGACATGTGTTCTGTCCCACCGTTTAAACCAGAATAGACTGACCCAGGGCTGTCTGGGAAATCAGGTCTTGTTTCTGCTAGGACTTGTGTATAAATGTGACTCCAGTCTTCAACTGTACAAGTCTTGTTACAACAAAAATGTCTTCATTTTTGTCTGCTCCTGTGTCTGGTGACAGACACTATTTATCCACCACGGACTCATGTGACACTGTGAGAAGTGATGTTTTAACAGCTCCAGAGAAACAGGCAGACAGACAGAAGGAGAGAGAGAAACAGACAGACAGAGAGAGAGAGAGCAATTTATCTCCTGACCAACTTTGTCACCTCACCTGGTACAATAAAAAACCTCAGAGCTGTTTTGTCACCAAACTGCTGTCAAAGTCACCATTAATGCCGTCTGTCAGCGCTCACTTGTTCTCACAGCCCATGTTGATGAGCAGTAGTCATGATAACATACACACATAATAATAATTGAGTCCCTTTGTTATTGCACAATGGGGAACTTTACAATGTGAGTCACTGCAATCAACACAGGCCGCCACAGGAGGCGCCATTAGAGATATGCAGTTCCTCTGGGAATCGACCATTAGACTATGGTTAGCATATGTGTAATCTTAATCTTTAGCCCTGCCTCTAAATGCTCCAAATAACCTCTCACTCAGGAGGGACCTGCACAATGTCACCAAAAGGACAAACTGTCCCCACAACAATAGTATTGAAACACACAGACAGTTGAGAGCAGTACCCTCCATGACATCACCTTCTCCCCTCACTGCTGTAAATGCAGACAAATAAATGATGTTGTAAGTGAAACTCCACGTAGAGTGTTGCAGCATAAACAGATGATGACTCAACTATAATCTCACTACAGTGGATAATGTATCTGCTGATAATGTAAGTGCCTTTGACAACACACAGTGAGAAACTGCGGTTATTCAACGTCCAGCACCGTGGCCTCTGAAGAAGGGGCCGATTCTGGGAAGAACCATTTACACTTAATAAGGTGGATTTTACTTACACAAGGTGGATCCAAGTTTTCTATATTTTTTAAAAGTCTTTTTTTTCCAATAAAACTAGAAAACAAATAAATTCCAACATTCCCCACAGTGGATTTTTAACTAGAGTAAAATACACAGCTGATTTAAATACGTTTAACTATGTTTCATGGGGCCACGTGGTGGAAGAGTGGTTAGTGATCAAGCCTTTCTACAAAAACATGACCGGTTTGAATACTGCTGTCCACATGCTGCTGATCATAATAATCAGACTGGAGTAAAAAGACACAGGTTGTGCTGGGTTTTTCTCGAGATTTGTTCAAATGTAAAAACAGCTGAAACTGTGTCAGTAGGGACCAGTTCATGTTGTGAAGCACTTGTAATGATATTTTGAGGAGTTGTTTTTTTTCTCTGGCCTTAAAAGCAAAATAAGGTATTCTGGTTTCTCCTACAGTCCAAAAACATACTGCACTAGGCCAACTGGACCCTCTAACTTCACCATAGGTATGAATGTGTGTGTGAATGGTGGTTTGTCTCTACTGTATACATGACCATGTGAGAGGCTGGCACTGTCACCAAGTCCAATGATTTCTGGGCTAGCCTCCAGCTCATCCCTGCCCCTCCCACTCCTCAGTGACTCTGAAAATAATGAATGAATGAAACTAATGCTTCACTAGTTTCTCCATGACTCCCAGATAAATGTCAACTCAGACCTGACATCAGATGCACATTATTTCTTCCTTCCTCAGAGGCTTAAACTTCGGGGTGAGTACAACACCCCTCTGCCAACACGAACTGTGGACTGACTGAGCTGAGAGTTACAAAACTGACAGTAGAGGCCGGCTAATGGTGTTGAAAAGCAAGAGGCGAGGTGGGTTTCTTAGCAACCGTTTCTCATCTGTCTCCACAATGGTACCAGCTGGAATAAACAAATTTTGGTCCGTGTGTGTGTGTGTGTGTTTGTAAGTACATATGCAAAGGGACCACCCCCTCCCCCAAATGATTTAACTGAGCAATAATGTAAAAGACTTCCATTGGATAATCACTGCAGGGATTAATACCCTTCTGCAGCTAACAACTTATTTAACACAAACTGATGCATTTAGTCAACTCTCATTTCACAAGACAATAAATGAATGTAACTCTGAGACTCATCAAGGTACGCAGTAATGCACAGGGTAATAACCAAGACTATAACTAAATTATACACAAGTATAAAACTGTCTCTAAAAGAGCCAGGGTATTGATGCATCAATGTTTATCTCACTGTGTCACACGCTTTCTATTCATTCTTTCTCTACATTTTAAGTCAGTAGAATTCTAAAGTGAAGTGACATGTTTTTTATGTATAGTTTGGCTTCCCTGGAAAAAAAAAAAATAAGATGTTGGACATTTGTGTATTCTTCTCGAGTCTGTGCGCTCGAGTCTCCCAGCTCTATTTACGACAATATAACGAGGTGCATTGCGCCCTCTCCAGTTCAAAAAAGGGACCTTTGTATATCTGAAAACATAAACGGTAATGTTGTGGACATAGAGAAAAATGACATCTTGAAAATATATATATAAATGAAAATGTAATGATGATAAGTCTGCTGAAAGTCTTTAAACAATTCAGATTCATATTTAAATTCAGATTCGGACTGGTTTACTCTGTTATCTAGTTAATAACCTATGTTCCTGTTTTGTGGTAAAAATAGTACTAACTTTCCGGTGATGTGTGATGTCACTCAAGCAAGATATTAGGGCTACAACTCTGCGTGGTTATGTGAAGAACTCTAGTGGCATCTGCTGCATGGGGATAGTACTACAAGAAGAAATGTATGCTCTACATCTGCCCTAAAACCAAAGCACTCAGTATTAAACTTTAATGACAACTCATAAATGGAACGACGACTACAACACGGACAGACGAGAAAATTCACGAGTTTCATTTACGGCTCGTTTTGTTGCTTGTTGTAAATTTTTATTTTGTGTGTAAATGTCACACATAAAGAATAATTGACCTATTCTAAAATTATGTTATGTTGTAACTTTAGACAAAACCCCTGTTTGGGTTGGATCTACATTTCAGCACCACGGTCAGCTCCAGCAGAGTCCTCATGAATCCGGGGGTCACCACAGCAGGTCACCTGATTAGGCTCGAGCTCTTTTTTATTTCCCTGGAGCTAAGCAGCCTCACACAAACAGATACCTCCTGGGTCCAACTGTTCCAGCCTTCACTAACTCTTCTGGTCATGTGACTGCCAGTTCTCTCCGAACTGTTCACACTTTTAAAGGAACAGTGCCACTAGATGGAGCAGGTAAGCACATGTTTAATCCACAGGGAAATTATCTGTCAGTGAGCACACGTCAGGTTTACATACTGTAGGACATTTTCAACCACCATCAGCAACACTCCATCAGAGCTGGGTGACCATTATGTCACCCAAAGAAGTTGCTGTTCTGCGGTTTGTTAATTTACATACTGTAGCTATTATGACCTGAAAAAAGGTCTACATCAAAGCAACAAAGGCCATTACTGCTTGTCATGCATATCATGATTAGTGATTTGACTCAGTAACATAATTTCCATTTTTTTAAGTAAGTTAAGAATGCAGGATCTTTTGTTCACATAATTCAACACCAGGCTGTATCTTTTGCACATATTCACACTGAAGCGTCACGTCCACAAAAAATGGTTCGAAACTGACTTTTTCCGTTTCTAACCAATGTGGTGGTGTGTGCAGCGATCTGTATCTCTTTTGTTCACATAATTCAACACCAGGCTGTATCTTTTGCACATGTTCACACTGAAGCTGTGGTGGTGTGTGCAGCGATCTGTATCCTGCCGCAGTCACATGTCACATCTGATCAGTGGCTTCTTTCTTTTAAGTAATGCTTTTAAGATTTACAGTTCACACCTCCTCTTCCATCCCCTCCTCCTTTTATGTTTCCAACTCAGTGCTGCCCTCCCGCGGCTCACTTAAGAGAGAAGCTTGCGCATCCCTGGAGAGGAAGCTGTCAGAGCAACTCTAACCAGTTGGATTGGTTTGTGGAGCAGCTGTCGAGTGCACGCGTTTCAGCCGAGTTCCGTAGAGCAGGTGATCAACGAAAGGTTCCGTTTGGTCTTAGTTCAGGACGCAGCGTCAGCAAGGAGCCACATGAAGCTGTGCTTATTGTTGTTGAGGAAAGCGAGTTCCGGAGTTTGTTCTGATTCTGAACACTTCACGCAGTACGGACGTTGATCAAAGGTCAAAACCACGGCAGTTGACTTGGTCTCAAAGTGAGTTTAGGTTTTCAGACAGTAGAACGCACTCTGGTTTGGTCTTGGTGCAGGTCCAGACCCAGGACGCACAAACGCTGCCGTTGCAGGAGGCTGCTGATGCACGAGTGAATCAGTACACGTCCGCGCGTCACTGTGGCTCCGATTCACCGAGCAAATGGTTTCACTTCATTAACTCCTCTACAGTCATCTTTTGCTCCGAAGCTGCCAACCTAAGAGACCACCGACATCCGTCCCCTCTGCACCGCCGCCAACACCGAGACCACCACCACCACCACCGCTGTGCAGGGACTATGTTGATGAAGGAGTACCGCATCTGTATGCCTCTCACCGTGGAGGAGGTAGGTGAACTTTACACGTTGTTTTCAGACTCGAACACGCAGAGTGTTTCGCGTGGTTCAGGTCGTTCACGAGCTGCAAGTTTACACCGATGCGCACGTCGTTTTAGCGCCAGAGGAGAGAGGACGCGCAGAGTCCGTGCCATACGTGGTGCGTCCAGGGCGCAGCCGCGCGGTGGAGCTGCTGTTTGTCTCTGCAGCCTCCTGGTACACGCTGTGCTGTCAGGAGCAGCCGTTTCCATGTGCCGGAGATGATGCTACAACGGCAGCACCAGTGGAGTAAAAACCCTGTGTTCGTTGTAACGTAGACGATGAAGGACAAATCTGTAAATTGTGAGTGTTGAGAGTGAACGCCGCTCCTGCTTACAGCTGCATTCTTATGGCCATATATCGAACACCTGGGAGACAAGTCAACTTTTGCAGTTACTATAGGTCTGTTGCATGTACACTTCTATCATTGTTATTATCGCGGGCTTAAGACAAAACTAAATAAAAATCAAACATGTTGTTACCTCGGAGTCTTATAACACCATGTTATAACCACTATCTCCATCACAGCCTCCAGTTGTAAACTAAAGGTGAAAAAAAGCACTAAAAACACTGAGTTATCTGAGGCAGTATTTTTTTTTTCTGGCAATTTTATTACATCATGAGGAAGATGGTGTAAAAAACCCCACTCCAATATCAATCCACCGTGCTGCAGATTCAATGGGAGAAAACAACTGCAGACTCACATGAAGATTGACGTCCAGGAGGAAGTGGCAATTTTTCAAAATAAAAAAACCTGGAAGACTATCCAGCCATCCATCCATTTTCATCCGCTTATCCGTTACCGGGTCGGCAAATCACACTGCACCGTACCAACCCCCTGAACCTTCCTGCGGGTGGTGAGTCCACTGGAAGGTACCAACCGCCCTAACCAGGGTTCAGTCTTGCCCAGGAAGTGAACCCTGGGGTTCCACACCAATGACAGAGATATTGCCTCTGGGCCAAAGTGCCACACCCTAGAAGACTAATTCAAATAAAATACATATCATATAAAACAACCTTATTTTTGTCGTGTGGCTTGTTGTCAAGTCAGCCACGCTCCACTACCTGTCGGGGCCCAGTGGGTTGGAGACCCCTGATCAAACTGTGACAGTATATGTGTCTGTGTCTAGTTCTTACATACAGTCAATGGAAGCTTAAATATATGAGTGTTATATCATGATAGTAACACGGTACAGCTCACACCGTCCCAGTCCCTAAGTTTAATTTCCAACACGTCTTCAGTTCCACAGAGATGGGAGGAAAAAATATGAAAAATTGAACTGGGCCCAGGATTGTGATGAGAAACTTGAGCAAAAGCCAACTGAGATAAATGACTGTGCTGTTGACGGGCTGCTGGGGTTTGATTAGATGGAGAACTCTGCTCTGGCACAATGTGCTGAAATGGTTAAAAAAAAACACCAATGATTTGGGCTGCAGAACAACATTTCACCAAAGGCCTCTCCAGGTCAGTGTGACACAGACGCAGCTCTGTGTCAGACACTGTGTGATACGAATAATGTCCAATATTTCATGCATCCATTCAAGTATAATGTGTTATGTTATGTGAGGAAGTGAAGCGTAAAGCCTTCGTTCCTGTGTTACCCCAAGCCATCGACAGGTGTTCCAGCGTTACTGGTTATCGACTTTTACTGTGTCATTAAGGCTTTAACACACCATTTAACACAGGCCGTGATGTCACAGAGCAGGAGTCGATGTACTCCTTAAACAGCCGGGATCTGCGGTAGTTAACTGTGAGACTGTGACTTGTTACTTGTTACCCTTCGTCTGTGGTGTCTTAATAGAGCGCCATGTTGCTCTCAGATTAGAGCAAACGTGTGATTTTTATTGGCTCTTTTTGATCGTGCTGCTCGGACCCTTCTGCAGTTTCAGCGACTTTGGTGTTTGTAATTACTGAGATACTGCTTTATCACACCCTGACGGAGAGCGATGGGCTCTTTCAGTTTGCTTCGCTCTAGCAGTGATGGAGAACTCTGTTGTCCTCTGGCCAGCTAAAGGCTATTACGTCTGCCGCTGTGATGATAACAATCTATTGATGTGTCATTGATGTGACAAATGACCATTTGTAATCTATTAATTACTGCAGCGTGTAAGTGCCCACTTCACTCACAAAGACACATAAATCTTCAAAACATTGCTCATCCCTCTCTCTCTCTCTCTCTCTCGCTCTCTCACTCTGTGCATGGAGGCAGTGTTGCTGTGAAAAGCACTTTTTGGATCAGGTGGAAGAAAGTGATCCTTGGGTGACACCCAGGTTCCTCTAATCTATCTGCTGATGTTTCCTTGAGCAAGATGTGATCACAGAAACGCCAACGCAAATGATTTAGCTTAACAACCAGGCAACTGGTGACATCACAAATTAAGGATTTGCTCTCCCTATGGTTGCCGTCTTGACAACACTACAGGCAAACAATTGATCAGATGGAGACAGATAACATTCAGAGATGCCTCCTTCAATTCTGGTGGAGGTCCAAAGACTATTTTAAACATGTATTCAGAGACAGAAATATTTATCCTCTGTTCAGAAGTATTTCATTTTTTTTATGTAACAACATTGTTATCACTGCTCAGATGATATCACTGTTTGGACAATGCTCCATGTTCTGCAGTAGAATGGAAGACAAACTTTTATGTATTTTGACTGAATGTGACAGCAGCCGGTCAGAGCAGGGGTCACTGTCTGAGCACTGATTTGTTTGTCTGCATCCAAAAAAATCCCCCGTTGTGTGTCCAGGCACAGACTCAGGTTGTTGTTTACATCCTCAGATTTAGAAGGTCTGTGCTCTGACTGCAGAGAAACCTGTTCCTTCCATGTTCCCTGAGGAGCCTGTGGTGCAGCCAGGGAGTGACCTGGCTCACACACAGCAGATGGAGAGAAGCCAGCTGCCAGACTGAACCAATGTTCTGCCTAACTGGCTGATGAAAAGTAGGAATGCGAGGATGGAAAGTGCCAATGTTTTTAAATAAATGATTTGGTACACAAGCTATACAGAATATCCAGTAAGTTTGTAACCAAATACAATAAATAGAACAATAGAAGCCCATTAAAGGTTACACAAATCAGAACTGCTACCACATTTCCAAAATCTGTATGGGGTTGTATTTCAGCTGTCAGGTTGTAAACAAACAGACCTGTGGTTGGTGTCAAGGAATATGTGACCTTTAATTAGGCAAAATTACTCAAGCAGTTCATAGACATGACAGTCAATTAAACTATACAATCACATGGTGTTTCATAACAAACCCAGGATTATGTGATAATTATTCACATCATTTTTATATGTTTTGAATGGACCTGGGAAAGGATATTAAACATAATATAGTATTACAGTACTCTTGTTGAAAAATATGTTTGCCAAATGCAAATGTCTTCTCATAAACATGGGAGTTGAAAATATGTTTGCCAAATGCAAATGTCTTTATTTTTATTGTATAACAATAAAAAAAGGACAAATACCGTCCAGAATATTCCTCAGAGTAACCTCAGAAGTATTGCATTGGTCAACATTATTGCAGCATATTAGAGTATAGGGCTAGGCCTAGTAATTCCTGCATTTCAACAAAATACATTTGAAAAAGCTGTGGTGTTAGAAGTAATTTGCATTAATGTATTATCGTGTTACCTTTGGCAGGCCTAATACAAATGGATCTCTTCCTCCTTAGAACAGACGTCTGTGACTCAACAACACTGAATCACCAAAGAACCGTCCAAAAATACTGTAGCTCTAGTTCCACTGAGCTGCAATAGCTCCAATAAAAGTCTGCCAAAACATTTGATCACATCATGTAAATCCAACAATCTTTAAAAAAACTAAAAAGAAACAACAACAATTTGGCTTGCATTACTGCCACCTACAGGATTTTTTCCCCCCTGGTCATTTGCAAAAAACTGTAGGAAAGAAAAGGTTTCACAGTCACAGCTGATAAACACAACATGTTGTATTTCCTTTGGGACATAAAAAAGAAATCATTTTGCATAATTTAATGACTTCATTTGTTCATGTTTTACCCGGCACACTATCCCCTTAAGACACTGTTGTTGTGTTTGTGCTGGTTTGGTATGAATCACATTGGACCTTTGGCTTGTTGTTTTCAATAATGACTCTGCTGTGTGACTTTTGTGAGTCTGTAATGTTTAGGACTAAACCAAATCAACAAAATAGTCATTAAAAAATGAATATTTGAAACTGCTTCTCAGGTCAATCCTGTCACAATATTTTACTTACAAAAACCTAAGGTGAAATGAGCTGATTTCTGTATTTTACTGTGTTTACTTGAAGAAGGTCAACCTGCACGTCGAGCAGCAGTTGATTTTGTATGACTTGTATGACTGTCATTGGCGAGAGCATTAAGTCCATTTTCTACCTGCGGTTTTTTCCTGCATGCCTTTACGTGAACTCCATCTCTCAATGTGATGGCTCACAGGGCAGCGCTGAGTGATTCCCTGCTACGAGAATAATTAAATCCCTGGTGATAATCTCAAGTCTGGCACTCTTGGACGTGCACTTAACTGAACTTCAGAGATTTTCCAGAGGGAGGGGCTGCGTGTGTGTTTTTTGTTTCACAATGTAATATTTTAGAGTTATGTTCCTCTGCTGGAAGAGTGCATTACAACCCAAATGGCAGAGACATATATATTTATGTATACATACATGCATACATATATACATTATAAAGTTTAGCAATGCTACTAATACATACATACTGTTCCAGGTACCAGGTAGAATTAACCCCAACTGCCAGAGCTTAGTCACAATATTAACCCAGTCAAAGTGGAGGGTCAACAGTTTTCTATGAATAGACGAGAGAAGACTGATATAACAGTTGGTCAGGTGATGGGAGGTTGTGGGAAAGGGCAGCGAGTAGGTGAGCAGTAAAAGTGTCCGTGACTTTGTCTTATGTCACACAGGACGGTATTTGAACAGGGATGTATTCAATGATCTTAGATAAGAATC